GATAATAGCACGGGAGAAACGGATCCTCTCTTTTCCTCTCTCCCTCTCTCTCTCTCTCTCTCTCTCTCCTCTCCTCTCTCTCTCTCTCCTCTCTCTCTCTCTCTCTCTCTCTCTCTCTCCCTCTCTTCCTCCCTCTCCTGACAGCCCGTCTGTATATGCAGCTCGCTAAACAGTGGGCGGGGCTTCAGGTGATCATGCAGAGCTGCGTGTCTCCGTCAGACTCAGCAGCTGATCTGATCTCTCTCTCGTCCGGTTATACTTCACTCGCGTTTATGTCCATATGGATCAGATCCAGCTCTCCTGATCGGCCTTTATAGAGAGCACCGATCAAACTATTAAGAGTGAATATCGGCCGATAATGACCGGCGGGCGATCGATCGGAGCATCCCTAATTATTACCGGACATTTTGACCGGCAGGTTTTGAATTTACCGGTTTTTAATAAATGTTACCAGCTAAAAACGGTAATTACCGGCTAACGGAAACCCTGGTGTAAATGTATGAATGTGTGTTTCTCCAGGGGACAGAGGCTGGAGGAGTCGCTGGAGTACCAGCAGTTTGTGGCAAACGTGGAAGAGGAAGAAGCTTGGATTAATGAGAAGTTGAATCTGGTGGGGAGCGAGGACTATGGAGATACACTGGCTGCTGTGCAGGTGTGCAAAACACCAAAATACATCACAGTAAATATGTGTTTAACCTTAGCGATGAGTTTACTGAATTCCGAGGAAACCTCTCTTTCACACAGGGCTTGCTGAAAAAGCATGAAGCATTTGAGACTGACTTTACCGTGCACAGGGACAGAGTCAACGATGTGTGCACTAACGGAGAGGAGCTGATCAAGAAGGTAGTGACGACACCACGTCCAGAGAAAATACACTTATTTAATTAGCATATGTTGATTTGTACAGTAGGACTACAGAAACAAAGGGTTCCCATGATAATTGAGTGTGTTTCCAACAGAACAACCATCATGTAGACAACATCAGTGCCAAGATGTCGGCACTGAGAGGCAAAGTGTCGGAGCTGGAGAGGGCCGCCGCTCAGAGGAAGGCCAAGCTGGACGAAAACTCTGCCTTCCTGCAGTTCAACTGGAAGGCGGATGTGGTGGAGTCCTGGATCGGTACGAACACACCTTCCTTCGTCTTCTGCAGTCTCATTCGCTGGAACAGCTCTGACACATTTAGCCTGTACAGAACACCTGACATCAATCTGTGCTCTGATCAAACTCTGCATAGACGTTACATAGCGGGGAATTCATCCATTAGTCAAAGATAGTTCCAGGTCCTTTAACTTATCTTTAAATGTCTGTAATAATTAGATAACTGTTTGTGAGGGTTGAGTGTGGCTGGCTCTGACTGTGTGGATGTGTTTTGTGTTCAGGAGAGAAAGAGAACAGCCTGAAGACTGATGACTACGGCAGAGACCTGTCCTCTGTGCAGACTCTGCTCACCAAGCAGGTACTGCATCTCCCCAAAGAATATTTGATTTCTCTGTACCGTATTCCTCTTTGTGTTGACACCATCTTTCTGTGTGTGCAGGAGACTTTTGATGCCGGTCTGCAGGCCTTCCAGCAGGAGGGCATCACAAACATCACAGCGCTCAAGGACCAGCTGCTGGCTACCAAACATGTCCAATCAAAAGCCATCGAAGCTCGTCACGCTGCCCTCATAAAGCGCTGGAACCAGCTGCTGTCCAACTCCTCATCTCGCAAGAAGAAGCTTCTGGAGGCTCAAGAGCACTTCAGAAAGGTAGGGAGGCCAGAACAAGGACGGCTACTGGATTTTTAACACTTCCACAAATAAACTTAAAACCTCTAAAACGATATTGTCCAAAGAAAATCTTGAATGGATTAGAGCAGCGCTACGTCACTTCCTAGCAAAATGATGGCCCTGCCTACTTTGCTGTGAAAACAAGGCATCGTCGTCAAGCAGAAAGAATCCAGAATTAAGATTTCTTTACACCCTCTTAGAAAAAAGGACAATCTAATGATGCTATATCATGATGCTAATGACGCTAACGTCAATTGTCAAAGTAAACAGTTGTAATGTTAAGTAGTGAATGTAGATCTGCATTGACGTATACAAAACTCTGACAAGCCAAGGTAACCCCAGTTAGAGTGTTAGATGCTGCCTGCAGCTCGTCCATCGGCAGGCTGACTATTGATTTGAATGAAACCATAAACCGCTGCTGATCATCGTCCTCCTATCATATTATTTGCCTGTCTGTCCATTGTAAGTGGGCTCTATGTAGATAAAAAAGACACAGCGTATGTTTTCACCCAAAAAGGGGCGGGGCATGACGTGGAGGGAAAAGTACCCTAATGTGTTGCTCTAATCTATGCAAGGGACAGCATTTTACCACTCCTGATGTAATGGAAGTAAACTGGACTTTAAGGTTGACTTCTTCTCCACAGGTTGAGGACTTGTTCCTGACATTTGCCAAGAAGGCATCAGCCTTCAACAGCTGGTTTGAGAATGCTGAGGAGGATCTGACGGACCCGGTCCGGTGCAACTCTCTGGAGGAGATCCGGGCGCTGCGTGAGGCCCACGAAGCATTCCGCTCCTCGCTGAGCTCCGCACAGGCCGACTTCAACCAGCTGGCAGAGCTGGACCAGCAGATCAAGAGCTACCAGGTGGTGTCCAACCCCTACACCTGGTTCACCATGGAGGCCCTGGAGGAGACCTGGAGGAACCTGCAGAAGATCATCAAGGTCTCCACTTCTAACATTATTCATATTATATTATATTACCTGCTGTTATTTCTATTCACTTTCTCCTCTAAGCCCCAAAATACTCCCAACACACCTGTGCTCCACAACATTTCTTACTTCATCAATAATACTCAGCATAGCATTGCTGCCGACCATATTACTGACCTGAGAGCTGCAGGAGTTCAAAGGTGCTGCAAGCCAATGGTTTCTCTCCAGATCTCGAAATCCCCCTAATTCTGAGACTTAAACTCAGGTTACCTGCCAACACTGACAACACCTCTGATACCACAGCTCGCTTTTTTGCCAAATTGCAAATCTGAATATTTCTTCTGCTGAGTCAATCCCTGTCTGATATACTGATCAGGCCTATCTTGTCATTTGCTTAACATATAATTAAAGCTTCCGAGTTAACGTTACCCTGGCCTGTAGCTGTATACACAGGTCGTGACTTCAGTTCAGCCATCAATCGTAAGAACATAATAAGGCTGTGCAGAAGTTGAATAGGGAACACCTGTATAACTTGACTCTAACGCTTTAGATTTCAATAGCTAAATACAAGAGAAAGATGTGTTCATGTTTTTGTTTCTCTTGGGTTGTGTCTCCTTTTGCTGTATCCCTTTTCCACTTTCAAATAGGGCTAAGACATTATATAAATGGAAACATATCCTATCCTAAAGCCCCCCCCCCCCCCTGGACACCCACTCACCTGCCTTACTGCCTACAGCCATGCTCACTGTGTGTGTGTGTGTGGGGTGTGGTGTGTGTGTGTGTGTGTGTGTGTGTGTGTGTGTGTGTGTGGTGTGTGTGTGTGTGTGTGTGTGTGTGTGTGTTGTGTGTGTGTGTGTGTGTGTGTGTGTGTGTGTGTGTGTGTGTGTGTGTGTGGTGTGTGTGTGTGTGGTGTGTGTGTGTGTGTGTGTGTGTGTGTGTGTGTGTGTTGTGTGTGTGTGGGTGTGTGTGTTGTGTGTGTGTGTGGTGTGTGTGTGGTGTGTGTGTGTGTGTGTGTGTGTGTGTGTGTGTGTGTGTGTGTGTGTGTGTGTTGGTGTGTGTGTGTGTGTGTGTGTGTGTGTGTAGGAGCGAGAGCTGGAGCTGCAGAAGGAGCAGAGGAGGCAGGAGGAGAACGACAAGCTGCGTCAGGAGTTCGCTCAGCACGCAAACGCTTTCCACCAGTGGCTGCAGGAGACCAGGTACAGAGATACACATCTGTATAGTGACACAGGCCAGCTCTCTTAGAATGATACATTATAAAACGTATTGCCTCTTGGTAACGTCTCCCCCTCCTCTTGCCTCCTCCCTCCCTGACGCTTGGATTGCTGTGCCTCAGGACTTATCTTCTGGATGGGTAATTATCCCTTTTTCTCTTTATCATTTGTTTGTGTTATGAGTGTAAACTGTGTGTGATGTGATGAGGACAGTACATCTTTTGTGGCGTGTAGGGTCAATCTAAATACACATGTTCCTCTTCTTCTTCCTTTCCCTTGAATACTCCGTGATTTCGCTCTATTATTTGTCAGATTTAATCTCTGCCCCCCCCCCCCCCCCCCCCCCTCTCTGAATAGCATAGCCTATCGGCGGGTTGTCTGTGTCTTTCAGTACCAAGTTGCTGATGATCTTTCTGAAAGGTCAACCTCTAGCTCTATTTCCTGTTTCTGACCCACGCCTCAGGGCTGTGACATCATTACTGTACTAATACTCACTGAGCCCACACACACCAGGCTGTCCCCCTGTTTACTTTGTGTACTTCACTGATGGAAACACTGAAATATTGGCTTCCACTGTACATACACGCACTTTTAACTTGTAATAGTATGTGGTCCCATGGGGTCATTGTGTATGAGTTCTAAGCATATGTGCAGTGACTTCATGTTCATGAACTAATGATAATGTAGTGCAGCTGCATGGTTTGGCTCACAGTAGATTGTTGGCATGCATGCAGCTCCGTGGCAGAATAGACAGCACAGCATACATTTACATGTTGGAATTGCAACAAATGCCAAATTAGACACTCTAGAATAGTTTATTTCATTTTCAGAAGTTAATTGTTATCATGGTAGCATAAAGGTTTTAGTGAAGAGTTGAAGTCGTTATAGTTTATAACAGTGTGTCAGGCTGCTTCCTCTCTGACGTCACGTTGTGTTGCCGGCAGGTCGTGTATGGTGGAAGAGTCTGGAACCCTGGAGTCCCAGCTGGAGGCCACCAAGGTGAGCATCGCTCACTGCTGCATGCTGTCATTCCCAGGGGACATGCAGTCAAAGACCTGGACTTTAATCAGCTGAATTGTGAGCTGAGGTAAAGGATAATGTGTGTGTGTGTGTGTGTGTGTGCAGCGTAAGCACCAGGAGATCCGGGCCATGCGCAGCCAGCTGAAGAAGATAGAAGACCTGGGAGCAGCGATGGAGGAAGCGCTGATCCTGGACAACAAGTACACAGAGCACAGCACGGTGGGGCTGGCCCAGCAGTGGGACCAGCTGGACCAGCTGGGGATGAGGATGCAGCACAACCTGGAGCAGCAGATCCAGGCCAGGTACACATCCACTGCACACACACTTCAGTGGTGGAAAGTTACTAAGCACATTTACTCATGCACTGCATTTAAGTCCAATTTGGATGCATCTGTACTCCATTTGAGTAAATGTTATGCTACTTCATTACATTTTGGAGGGAATTTTTTTCTCATTTGTTTACATGTATGCATCAATAATACAGAATATAAATCCACCAATAAATCATTATGTATTATTATGGCTACTCAACAGTATAGCCATTTAAATAATCCCCAACCAAGTGAACATTGACATTAAGGCATTCATAATTATAACACACATGTTATTTGTTTAAATCTGGCAAATGAGTACATTTACTTTTTGTACTATTTTTTTATGCTAATACTTTTGTACTTTTCCTTGAGTACACTTCTGAATGCAGGACTATACTTGTAACAGAGTATTTTTACAATGTTGTATTGCTACAATTACTTAAAGGGGACCTATCATGCAAAATGCACTTTTGTACGTCTTGTATACATGAATATGTGTCCCCGGTGTTCCAGGGAACTCACCAAGTGTCAGAAAACACAACCCTCTCTATTTTCCTCCATACCCAAATCTCTAAAAAAGGGGCTGCAACGGATCTGATCAAAACTGATCCAGATTTGAACACTGTCCTGACGTCAGGATGGTGGCGCTACGGCTATTGGGCCAACTCCACCAATCAGGGGAATGTGGGGTTGGGCCACAGCCGGCCATTGCCGCTCGAAAGCGCTGGAGACGCTGTAGTACATATGCCAGGCCTGTAAGTGGCGCTGTAGTCTGCCACAAAAGCAGCGAAGAAGATTTCCCGCCCATAGTTACCATGGTTACCCTTCTGTTTATTCTCCGCTGTGGCTTTTTTTCTCCCTCCCCGAGGCAAGCTTTTGCTCCCGCTGCTTTAATTCAATGCAATCCCTCCCCGTCGAGGAAAGCACTGTAATTCTCTCCGGTTAGTCCAAATGTCACAAAGCGCATTTGCGTACCGACGTACTTGTGAAGCTTTTCCAGAAGGCGGTTAGATCACCGGACGACAGAGTCGGTCTCCGTGTGCACAGACAGGGCTGCTGTTAACGTCGGTCTGTACAGCAGCACGGCGCTAAAACAGCTGATCACAACGTTCACAAGCTCTGTACTCCACTACCACCCCCCCGTTGACATTCGCGATACAGAGGGCTTCATGGGAACTTTGAGGGGAGCCAGAAGTTGGAGTACCAAACACTGACTCCAGGTACTCATCTGAGTACCTCACTGAGAAAGTTATGTGCACCCCTGCCTATAATAATATAATAAAACACGGAGGACGGAGATCTATTTTTCTCCCCCTCTTCTGACTTGATCAGAGCACGCTCCCCTCTCCTGCAGGGGGGCGTGGTCAGCTGCAGCTCACAGAATCAGCCCCCTGCAAAAACAGGGCTGGAGAACAGCACATAGAGCGAAATGAGGCATGGCTAAAATGCATGATCTGTTTGGTATTTTGAAAACAGAAACGTATAAATATACCTTATATAGGTATGGCCCTACAATATATCATTTAAATATAGCATGATAGGTCCACTTTAAGTAAAAGATCTGGGTACTTATCCCACCTCTGCTGTAGGTAGGGATCGGTATCGTTAAGGTTTTAACGGTATTACTACTTTTATCGATACCGCTTATCGATCCGGTGCTTTAACGGTACTCTTATCGGTTATTTTGAAAGAAAAAGAGAAGGTAAATTAACTAAACAAATTGTAAATAATGTGAACTTACAGTACTGTAAATAAACAAACAAAAAACAAGTATTTACTGCAAACACACAGTGGTACAGAGCAACAGAGGTGGGGCATACAGGTATGCTGCAAAAGGCGAAGTGAGTTGGCGACACTAAAACTGCAATATAATGTTTATGTAGCAATATGATATGACATCTTTTTTACATGTCTCCAGTACCGATAAAAAGACTGATAACGTCGGAGCTTAACGGTACCACGGTCTTTAATAATTCAGCCCCGGGGCCCCTTTGATACCGGGGCTCGGTACCCATCCCTAGCTGTAGGTGTGTTACCAAATGTAATAAAACGGATCATGCAGCTGGAGCTCATTTGCCTCCATCTTTGTTTCAGGAACACCACCGGAGTGACGGAGGAGGCTCTGAAGGAGTTCAGCATGATGTTCAAGTAAGTGACCTGACCAGTGTTCATTGGATGAAGGAACACTGTGATAAACTATGCCGTCTATGACAAGATGTCTGGAACGGACCTCGTGATGTCATCATCAGTCTGCATCTGATCCTCCTCTCCTCCTGTTCCTCTGCAGGCATTTCGACAAGGAGAAGTCTGGCCGTCTGAACCACCAGGAGTTCAAGTCGTGTCTGCGCTCGCTGGGCTACGACCTGCCCATGGTGGAGGAGGGGGAACCTGATCCCGAGTTTGAGGCCATACTCGACACTGTGGATCCCAACAGGTCTGTCCCCGGGTCAGGGAACATTGATAGGGATGAAATGTGCAGTACTGCTGTGTGATGTTCAACACACTGTGGTATTGGCTGCTAACAACTATGGCCCCTGGTAGACCACCACACATAACAACTAGACTATCATTTGTATTATTATTCATATTACTGGCTGCTGTCTCCTGGTTAGGCAACTCAACTTCTCTAATCAATCTGTAAATAATTGCGATATATACTTCCGGTTTTAATACTGTCAACTGGCTGCTATCCCACTACTTTATACATGCTATACTTGTTTGCTTTTTTAAAAAAAAGACTTTTACTGGCACTGGATGTGTATTTTGTAAATTGTAATTAGAGTAATTACTATTCTTCTCTTTAATATTGTATGCATGCCTCTTCATTAATATGTAGCTATTTCTGGCTCTTTACTTTTGCTGTAACAATGTCAATGTCCCCTCTGTGGGACCAATAAAGGAATGCTAACAGAGGAATGTGTGTGTGCAGGGATGGCAACGTGTCGCTGCAGGAGTACATGGCCTTCATGATCAGCCGAGAGACCGAGAACGTTAAGTCCAGTGAGGAGATAGAGAGCGCCTTCCGGGCCCTCAGCACAGAGGCCAAACCCTACGTCACTAAAGAGGAGCTCTTCCAGGTGGGATGTGTTCTGCTCTCTCTGTGGACCAGTGTGTGGACCAGTGTGTGGACCAGTGTGTGGACCAGTGTGTGGACCAGTGTGTGGACCAGTGTGTGGACCAGTGTGTGGACCAGTGTGTGGACCAGTGTGTGGACCAGTGTGTGGACCAGTGTGTGGACCAGTGGCTCTAACTGTCCCTCTCTGTTTCAGAACCTGACCAAGGAGCAGGCCGACTACTGCCTGTCACACATGAAGCCCTACCTCGACAGCAAGGGCCGCGAGCTGCCCTCAGCCTTCGACTTCGTTGAATTCACCCGCTCGCTCTTTGTCAACTGATCCCTGCCCCCCAGGGACCAATCGGGACGCGTTTCCCCCCACACACTTTAACACAAACACACGGCTGAAACTGCATGACTGTGGCACTAAGAATACTCACTATAACAACTGTCTGTCCTCTATTTATCTGCTCTACTTTAACTCTGTGTGCTTCTCATGATAGCATAGTGGATCCGTCTGCATTTGAATGTGATTGTTTTTAGCTGATTTAGCTTGTGCTTTCGATGAATTTAAGAACCTAATAGTCAAACTAATGTTGTTAGTAACACCAACAACTGCAGTGTGCTTTAATAAACGCTACTGGTTAGAACTGGAATCATCGCCTCCTGTTTTTATTTCGTTTTTTGTCTTGACGACACAGTTCATATACATCAGTCCTATGCAGCGAGTCATTCTGCCACCTGATTGGCTATCTGCTCCAGCTGGCTGCTCTCTCGGGGGCCCTGCTCCGTCAGATCGTGGCTCAGCTGCCAGATGCCCACGCTCCCGTCTGTCCTCCCCACAGCCAGCAGGTGGGGGTTCCGATGGTTGAAGGCCAGACAGGTTGCCGGTTGGTCTGCCCCCCCCCTCGATGGTGGCTGCCGGCCTCAGGGACCTGCGGCCCAGGTCGAATATCTGCACCTCACCTGAGAGACAGTGCACAGACTGCGAGTTCTGATTAACTGTTTAATTACAAGAACAAATATCATCCTACATTAGTCACATCAAGCTCAGAGCAGTAACAGCTTTCTTTAGGATCTGTTGAGTGACCATTCAAATACATGTTTACTATGTGATGGATAACAGGCAGGTGCATGGCTCCTACTCAAGTGTTATCATGGAGTCTGCTTCCTGATGAATAGTAGTGTAAAGTAACTAAGTAGATTTACTCTAAATAAGTACAATTTTGAGGTACTTTGTACTTCTACTCCACTACAATTCAGAGGTTAATGGTGTACCTGGAGTAAATTCACAAGCTACCCTGCAGTATACAAAGTCATTCAAACTAGCTGCACCTTTACCAGCTTTGAGAACACTTTCATGATCAATCATTATAAAACATATATTATATATTATTCTGAAATGGACCAATCTGCACAATGACTACTTTTACTGTCGCTACTTTAACTATATTTCATATCTAATTTTACTTGAGTAACATTTTGAATGCAGGACTTACTTTACTTGTAACAGAGTATTCCTACAGCCTGGTACTACTACTTCTACTTAAAGGTGGGGTAGGTCATTTTGGAGAAACCAGCTCGAGTGCGCTAGAATTTGAAAATACACAGCCGGAAGAAATCTGCCACTTCCTTACAGAGCCCCTCCTCCAACACACACGAACGCGCACATGACCAATGAGGGCACGAGATAAGTTTGTGCACAGATGGAAGGCTGACAGGCAGGTAGGCCATCCAGTTATTTTAGCCGGGCCGGCTAAAATGATTGGTCGTGCTTTTTACAGTACTACAGCTTCCACAGATGATATTTTTTTTATGGATTTTTTGTCAAAGCACTTCAGATATTCATTGCTATCGGGATGTTAAGAGCATTCCATGGAATATAACAAAAAGTGTATCTTGAGCCGGTTTCTCAAACTAACCCACCTTTAAGTATAAGACCTTACTTTTCCACCTTGTTTTGAACCTAGAGTTATGTGTGTTCTGCATACACAAAGTGCTGTACCTTGTCCGGTGGCTGCTGCAAACACCAGAGGTCTGGTTGGAGACCACTGCAGTTGGAACACGTAGGAGTGTGAGACCCTGAGAGAGAGCAGCGGGGGGGCCTGCAGCAGGGAGTGGAGGTGGGCCAGGCCATCAGTCCCTGCACTCACAAACAGGTTCCTACACACACACACACACACACACACACACACACACACACACACACACACACACACACACACACACACACACACACACACACACACACACACACACACACACACACACCAACTCTACACACACACACCACACACACACACACACATAACCCGGACACACACAACACGACAACACCACACCACATCACACATCACACACACACACGACACAATTCACACAAAACACAACACCACGTCATCACTGAATCCCCATAGTAATTGCAATGTACAAAAAATATTGAAGGGGTGGAGCTTGGACCTGTGGAAGGGGGAGCAGTGTATGGAGTGGACGGGGCCGCTGCGGGGCTTGAACAGGAAGACAGCGGGGGCCCTCAGGGTCACACTCTGGCCTTCGGGGGGCACAGCAGCTGGCGTCTGGGATGAGAAGGAGCATCTGAGCAGCAGACCCCCCTCAGAGCCCACCAGGAAGGTGTCAGGGGTCCCAGGGGGACAGAGCCAGGGAGGTGACCCCCACAGTGCTGCTGCCCCGGGCCTGAGGACACAACGAGCCCTGTTACTTTCTGCAGATCCCAGGGGGGTTTTGGAATCACTTAAAATGAATAATAACAATGTCTCTGGGATGGTGTGAGCTTTATTCTTTCATATCTGTGCTGTTGTGTAAAATGCCAACGCTTCTTTTGAGGATGCATTAATCAAAGACTTATATTTATTAAAATAAATGACATCACGGTTCCCATAAATTGCAATCCTTGTATTCTGTATGTGTCCATTTCTTCAGTGTGAGCTAGCTATAATAAATGAACAGTTGAGTTAGCTCTTGTGATCCCGAGGCTCACCTTGAAGCTGCTGTCGCTGCTGTGGGGGAGCTGCTGTGGCACCAAGGCGTAGGCAGCGCTCAGAACAAACCGGGCCTGCTCCAAGTCCACCGTCCACAGCAGCACCCGTCCTGCTGAGCCCGCACTGAGGACCCCAAACTCCCCTTTCTTTTGCAGGGGCACCCAGGCTACCTGCACACACACAGATCATTTTTCAATAGAATATGGCGCCTCCAGTTTAAGTGTCGCAGTGAAGTTCTTTCTTCTTCCTTTAGCAGTCACTAATCAGAATGCTCCACATAATCACTGACAGCAGGAAACCACATTACACTGATGTAGATTTGAATAGATTCTTTCCAATGTTTCCAAAGTTTCAGACTGAAGCTCACACTTATAATGTTGTAACTGTGCTGAAGCCTCTCAGAACAAGCATCAGGACACTAACCCTGTCCTCTGGCATCAAACAGCAAACCTCTGGTACCAGTGATAGAGCACACAGTGTGTGTCTGAGTGTGTACTCACTGTATACACAGGCTCTCTGTGGCTGTCTGCTGACATCCCAGTTTGGACCAGCACCGGGTCCTGAGTCCGGCTGGTGTCCCAGACCAGCACCTCTCCACTGTACAGCCCCCCTACACACAAGGCAGGAAGGGCTTATTGAAAGATGCTTTTGATATAAGTTATAAAGGTTGTTTTTTTATGTAACCCAGTTCACAAAAGGGTTAACTACACAAAAGTTCCAAGCCAATCGTTACACAGAGTTTTTAACAGTGCTTTTAGCCAATCAGAATGCAGATCCTCCAGTACCGGAGGCGGGCTCCTCAAAAGCGAGGTGACAGTGAAGGGCGAGATCTGCTGCTGAACGGCAAAAATATAACTCGGATAAATCCAGAATACCTCAATATAATATTTTCAAATCAAAACAGTAACAGTAACTTCCTTCTAAGGTTGTAGGTGTGTGTGTGAGAAGGCCTGCTCACTGAAAACTGGAAATAGACACAGAAGGACTCCCGAATTGGTGAATCGCAGTAAAGAAATAGATAACAGAAAGTGCATCTGTCGGCTGCACAGAGCTTCTGTCAGTCAGAGGGTTAAGTCCAAGTGGAGATAGTTATCATGTGAGGAGAATTTAATAAAATACACTTCATTTCATTGCATTGAATTGTAAACAACTGTCACGAAGCAGTGTTTGAACAAACCTTAGTCATGGGTTGGTTTTAAATACAAACATTTCAATATTCCTTTAACACTGTCACAAAAAATAGGCATGTTTTTATTAACAAATATCACCAATGTGCCCTTTTATGCATTTGAGCCCCTTCCCCTCCAACATCCTCTGCACGTGCCTGCTGAGGCTAACAATCAGGGGGCCAGCTGCTCATCAGGAGCGATGACCATTCTCACACACACTCTCACACTGATGGCTAGGAGCAGAGCAGGCGCGCCGGATTCATTTTAGAAGTGGGGGGGCCAAAAAAGTGCGTGTGTATGGCCCAATCCCAAACTACGCCCTACACCCTACACACTCCCCCTCCGTGACGGAGTGAACTCCGTGGAGTGACACATGAGGCTCCCTCCTGTCAGATGGAGGGAGTAGATACAGCAGGCAAGCTTTGGGACAAACTCCCCTCTCTCCGGCAGAAACAGGAAATGCCGTAACTGTATGTATCAACGGTATCAAATCAGCATCTCTTTGACAAAAAAATGTAAATTAATAACTAAAATAAAACTCCAAACATCTCTAATTGTGTTACTTTTTTGTAAGCTCTTTTAGTTTTAAACCTGATGTTTATAAGCTTCTTAGTTTTTGCAACAGTCTGTAAATATACACACCTTTATAATAAAATGCACACATTTACCTTTTTCTAGACTAAACACAGGTATACGATCCTAAGTTAAAAAAATATGAGGTTATCATGAGGTTGTTAACATCGCAATTTATCAGTGGATGTTTGCTGGAAGCACAATAACTGCAGTGTTTTGCATTGCTTTTAAATTTCAGTTAATATAGTGGTGAGAGACTCCCGATACATTAGATTTATAAGTTCATTAATTGTCTCATGATGCATATTTCCGGTGAGCATGAAGCTTTTCAGAGTGGGGTTTTTCTCAGCTACGAGTTATTTTGGAAATTGCTCTCCTGAAGAAAGCGCACTTTTTTTTAATACACTCTCTGTGGAAATGAGACTTTTCGTGGCTGTCCAGGAGGCTTGGGCACTTTTCCAGTTATTAACTCCGGTATTAACAAAGCTATCATCTCCACATTTTGAGAAAGTTACAAGCCGTTTGACAGCAGCAAATCTGCATTTTTTTTTTATTATGTGGCGGCGGTTTTGACAGTCTCTGCGGCCGCAGAGCTGCTGCTTTTGGGTTCATCTGGCTTCGCTGTTTCTATGATTGATGAAGGTCCAGGCTCCGTAGACGTGGATGTCAGGGATGTGACCTTCCAGTTGTTAATTTAAGTTTAGATTGACTGTATTTAGTTTTCTTCTGCGCTGGTTCTTCTGACATGTTTGCAAGTGTATATATTATTTCTATCTAGGTTAACGGCTGACACACACAGAACAATGTGACAAATAAAGTAAACAACGTAACAAATCTAAGCTTTTTTATTGGTTGTAATTTACATGGATACATTTGAATGGTGTGACAATGTCCTATTTGATTGGGTTAAAATGTATATATTCTTCCTGTTATGTCTGCCTGCTTTATTTTACCTAATGCAAAGTGACCTGCTCCATCGAAATCAGTCGCATTGACCCGAAGACACATTTTGAGTTGTATACACTGTTGGAAAGAGGAGATTCCTAGCTTTCTAATGATATCAGGATTGTTTGTTGTACTCCAAATATTAAGCAAAATATGTCACATTATATAATGACTGTCACCGAGTCATCATTTTGAGAAAAAGGCCTTCAAAGTTTCCTCTTCTCTGGAATCCATCGATCTGATTGATTATTAGCGGAGCAAATGATCAAAATAGTACGAAGGGAAGATATTTTCGTTTGGATTACTGGTCTGGGGGAAGCTCGCGAGTGTGTGTGTGTAGTGTATGTATGTGTGTGTGTTTGTGTATTTTTGCGTTAGTGTATATTGTGTTTGTTTCCCGGGGAAAACACTCACGAGAAACACGGCTGTTTTATGCGTGCTGTGACGTTAAGTTACTACGTACTCCTTCTCCGCTTGTAATTATGCCGTTACAAGCTTCATAGTTGTATTTATCATCTGAATTTGCCGAAACAAGTTTAATATTCTGAAAGCCAAGACTTTGTTTATTTGAAATCAGATAAAAACAAACTGTAACGGACCCTGCCGTGTTATCTATGATTACTATACGCCTTACATTCATAATTTCAGCAGAGGGAGGGGAAGCGGCGCTGCGGAACAGCAGAGTGGCGAGTGAGAGCTGTCATCTTCCCTTTACAAGCTTCACAAATGCCTGTAGCTAATGAGATTGAATATAACAAAAATAACAAAATATACACAGCTAGATCAGATCGCGTTTTAGATGCGACTTTAGAGTAGAGGGGAATTATTGAAACGGGATTTGTACAGTGTTCCACGGCATCCGCCGCTGCGAAAATGTGGGGCAGGGCTGAAAAGTGGGGGGGCCAATGGCCCCCTGGCCCCCCCGCTTTCCGGCGCCCTTGGAGCAGGGGCCGGGGATCGGACCACCGACTCTCGATTGGAGGAGGACTGCTCTCTCTGCCGAGTCCCATGAAGCGTTTGGTGTGTGTGTGTGTGTGTGTGTGTGTGTGTGTGTGTGTGTGTGTGTGTGTGTGTGTGTGTGTGTGTGTGTGTGTGTGTGTGTGTGTGTGTACCTGCGATGAGGGCAGGCTGCTCGGGGTGGCAGCACAGAGCGGTGACGGCG